CAAGTAAAATTGAATTCATTTTTCCGCTTCGAAGTATTATAAAAATCTCTCTGTATACGGCACGGATGGAATGTGATAAATTAGAGATGTCTGAACCTTCTTATATATACCATTCACTTTGCGTCAATGGCACGACGTAGTTTCCACGTACATAGAGCGAGCGCGTGTTTACATTTTATTCTTATGTCTATGAAATTATTAATTTCACATTTCTTTAACCCCAAAAATAAGTTTGGGGATGAAATGATCCAATAATATTTATTGGCTTTTGGCCAAAAGCGTTCGATTTTTATTAAGTTCCTGGGTACTTCGATTCAATTTTTTTGAAAAGAATGTGTAATTTATTCAACTGTGTAGTACACAGTGTGTACTGTGAAGGTTAATTGGTCTTAACCTTCTTCAAGCGTACCATGACTTTTTCACGTGCATGTGTAGTTTTTTTTTTCACTCAAACCGTCTGCAGTTCCACACGCTTATTTTGTGAAATAATAGGTGATTATTATTTATTTGGTATAACTCACTCATGAGAAACCAAAGAACACGCGCGACGTTAGAGCTTGTTAATCGGCTGATGTAAGAAACTCCCTTATGAAAATATTTTTACTGAACGCTAATCAGCTAGCTTATTTATTATTTTCAGAGCAATTTTGGACAAAAGCAAGTCGATCATTCCAGTTATTGTTCATATTTGCATTCCTCGACTGATTGATTTATGGAACACGGCCATCTTCAAAAAACATAAAACCATCAACATAATTATGTTCCGCTTTCCAAATTCCGTTTTTTCAAACAGCAGGTGATAATGAGATAAATACAATATTTCAGTAACAAGTATACAGTTTCATTCACCGTCTTGAAGTTTTTTAGCTTTAAACTTCTTTGTTATTTTATCATGAGCCAGAGAACTCAACTTTCTTCATCAGAACAGAATCCGGTATTTATAATGTACAATTCAACATTTTACCAGTAAAATTTTACACAGAGATTTTGAAAAACAATGAAACGAGGACGAAATCAACAACCAAATAACAGTTCAAAGCGGTCCAAAAATGAAGATTTTCGATCGCAATTGGAAATTGACAAACGTAAGTGTTTTTTCTGGATTTTATGTTTCTTTGCTTGTCGCGAAAACTACCGCCGTGACTTTATTTGAGGTTATCATTTTAGTGTCAGCATCAGAACTAAATGCCATCATATCAAAGCAACACCAAGACGAACAGAATGGTCCATTGCAAATGGAAAAAGTTCTTCATGATTGCTTGGAGGCAATTTTCCAATACTTGGACTTGAAGGATTTGCACAACATAGCCGAAGCAGATGAACGCTTTGTTCCAGTGGTTCGATCGGTATTTTCACAACGATATCGAAACAAACGTGTGGTCTTGAATCTTATTGATATTCCTGTCATTGTCAAACGATAGCATCGAAATACCAAAAGACGTGTTGCCGTCTCATTCTTCGAACACTTTGGCCCAGCAATTTTGAAGCTGCAAATCATTGGTATGAATCGACACGTTGAAATTGAAAAATCATTGCTAAAACATTGCAACAAATCGATTGTTGATTTGAAGCTTGAATCGTGCACATCAAGTTTCAAAAGTATCAAGAAACCATTCGAAAATGTCGAAAAACTCGTGATGATCGACAGTTCGATGATGTCACCATCGTTGAATAAGAGGTTTCCCAATATGGTCCAACTACAATTGATATTGAAGTCGTCTCAACCGCAGTTTTCAGCAGCACACTTTCCAAAGATGGACAATTTATACGTTTGTGATTTTAAAATGACGATTCGAGAGCGAACCATTGAGAAAATGCTGCGACTCAATCCACAATTGCAGTTTTTACGTCTGGAGCGTGTTTACAACCCAGAATGTGTTCGAGTAGTAAGTGAATGTTTGGCACATTTGAAGTATCTCAACCTAACAGTGCCAGAAGATCGATTCCAGAGCTTTGGTGACCAAAAGATTCATTTCGACAATGTCAAGACATTTATCTTAAGCCCCCGGTGCTATACAAATGTAAAGTTTGTCTTAAATATGCCATTTGTATTCCCAAAACTTCAATCACTATGGTTGGGCCATGTAGTCAGTGGCTTTGGTGGCTTCAATGCTCAAACTTTGGACTTCATCAAACAAAACAAGAAACTCACCGTGTTGGCTTTATTTGCCAATGCTATCAAATATTACGATTTGATGACGATTTTGCACTCTCTGCCAGATCTTGCAAGTTTTCTTTTTAGATCAACTCCATTCACTTCAGAAGAACTAATTCAGTTGCTGTCTGAGTGCCATAATTTGAACATCAAGGTTTTGAAACTCATATTTCCCAACGAAATCGGTAAATTTGGGATAGTAGAAACAGCAACGACGAAAATGAAAAATAAATGGAATGTCATATCGGTTAAAGTCAGAAGCGATCCATGCATTTTATATTGTTTTGTTGTGAAGAATGTTTTTAGCTGCGCTCAATGTTTACTTAAGCATATTTCCTGCTTCAATGAATTGTCCTGTTCTCTTTTGGCTTTTGATTACGGTAAACTCCGTTGTACAATTCAGCGCATAATGTTTCGAACCAGCTCAATGGATCGGAAACTCAAAACATTAAACAATGGATTCTCAGAGCGAAATGTGCATGACAACAATAGAGCTCCACAGCATTCGGCACGTACATTATACAGCTTACAAGAGGGAGAAAACGTAGAAAAAAATCAAGCGAAAAAGAAAGGTTTATCAACGAAAAATGAGTGAATCGGGGTGAATAGGTGAAATCCTACATTTTATCAAACCCAGGTTCAAACTAATGAAAATTCCATTGCACACATTCAAGCTTCCATTTTCATTTAGATACTGACACTGGTTTTGCTTCATTTTATGTGAAATATTCTGTTTTAAATTCAAAGCATAAAATACCTTCAAACACCAACACTCACACAGTTAATTGGCGCGCAAACAAAATATCGATTCAGAGGGCGTTACTGTGCCGATTTTTCAACATTCGAGGTTGTCACGTTCATTTGTGTTGTATCATTTATTCTACAAACGTTTAACATCAACACATTATCCGTCATCCGTCAGAAAGGAAAGCAAATTCAATTGTTTTTGTACGACTCAATACTTCGACAGAAAAATTGCTCAGAGACTTCAGAATAGCGTCCAATTTGTCCAGAACAGCGTCCAATTTGATCAGTAATCGTATGTATCTCTTAACAATTTTCCTTGTCAAATATTTGTGCATGTTGCCTGAAGCTATATATCTTCTGATTTCCCTTGATTTTCAGCAGTGCAATCTGAATCAGCACAAACAACAATGGCAACAATCCCAGCATCTGATCTAAATGCCATGATAGCAAAGGAACGAGCAGAGGAACATAATGGTCCATTGCAATTGGTACACGTTATCAACGAATGCTTGGAGATCATTTTCCAGTACTTAAATTTGGTTGATATGTACAACATGGCTGAATCAGATGAACGTTTCATCCCTGCACTTCAATCGGCATTTTCGCAGCGTTTCGAAAACAAGCGAATTGTTTGGAAATTTTTGCCGGCTAAAAATCGGAAGAATTTTATTGAAATTCCAAAAAAACTGTCGGCTGCCACATTCTTCAAACACTTTGGATCAAAAATTTTGAAACTCGGCATCGTGGGCATGAATGGTAGAGACGCAGAGAATGGCGAGGAATCAATGTTGAGACATTGTGCAAATTCGATTATTGATTTGGAACTACAAAAGTGTGGTTTGGGTCGTCATGCTATCGACCAACCATTCGTGAAAGTTAAACAGCTTCTGATTGAGGAATGTTGTTTGGGTCCAAATTTTTCACAATGGTTCCCAAATGTGGCTAATCTCACGTTGAACCACACACATTTTGTGCAATACAACTCTTTTGAGGTGCATTTTCCGGAATTGACTGCGTTGAAAATTGATGAATTGGAGGCAACAATGATGCCATCATCAACCATTTCAAAAATGCTGCAACGCAACCCACAACTGATGCACTTGAAATTGTATTGCGATTACAATGCGGATGTGATCAAGTCTGCGAGTGAATGTTTGTCAGATCTGGAAGTACTGAAGCTTGACCTATCTGAAGATCAATTCGAACACAGCTTTGACGATCAAAATTTTCTGTTTGTAAATGTCAAGCAGTTGACGCTATCGTACGGCGATAACTTTATTACGAACATTCCATTGACTTTCCGAAAACTTGAAAAATTGCGTCTTTACAAATGGGATGGTGTCAATGATCGAGTTTTAAATTTTATCAACGAAAACCAGTCGATCAAAGAATTGCAGTTTGCAGATACCGATGAAATATACAACGATTTGGTAATGGTTATCCAATCTCTGCCAAATCTTATGGCATTGACCATTGATGCATCCACATTCACATCGGATGAATTGGTACAGTTACTGTTTGATTGTGCCAAGTGGAAAATTACGCAATTGCGGATCCGATTTGGAGAGCATTCACAAAGCCAAGAGTTTCGATCGAAAGCCGCCAGAAAGAACAACATAAAATGGACTGTCAAAGCTGTTCGTTACAGTTATTATCCAGTTTTTGGACTACACTTTAACAAGGTCTGAACTATGAAAACGATAAAAATAAGTCGATTAAATCACATAATGTGATTCACATTCATTGTTCGGCATCACCGAATTTTAGTGGAATTTCATATTTGGACTTAAATTAGCTTTTTAAGAAGAACAAAAAATCAAATGTTTTCACAGCTACACGAATAAAATGTTTTCCCTTCATTTATTATTGGATAAAATCGACCCATTTTTATTATTTTCTTCCATTTTATTTCTAGCTCAAAGTTGATCTATATCTATAATCAACACATTTTCCGCTCTTTTTACGCTCCGTTGTAGACTTCCGAGAATATTTTTTTCCAACAATTTTATGAAAAATGTCCTTTGTAAGAATCATATGCATAAATTCACTGTAAATATTCAAATTAGAACATTAAGAGATGTAATATAACATAAACGAAAAATTATGAACATGTAATATTCTTCCAGAACCAAATATTCATATCATCAGCATGTTTACGCCTGAGTTTAGAGTTTTTTTATTGAATCAAAAATATATTCCATAACTCACCATATCCAAGCTTTCACTAAAGCATTAAACAGAGACAACAACCACATTTTCTTTACATGGGTTTGCGTTGTTTTCATCGTTTGATCAAACATATAATATTAAAATACATTTCCTACACTAAAGCTGCGGAAAATTAATAAAACAGAAGACATTCCAAATTAAATACAAAACAAATGAATTCGATTAAAACCGTTGACTGTTTCAATTAAAAAATGTGCACACAATTCACATTTTCGCCGCAAATCAAGCGAAATCGATTTTCGTGGTTATTAACGCATACGTTCACGTACTCAGAAGTATGAAAAAAGCGCGCCAAAAATTTCTATATGAAATTACCATTGCAAATAGACTCATCGGCTGACATGTGTAATAGCCGAAATTCACACAGAAATCATCAATATACGCTTTCACATACTGGCCACACACAGCTGTTGATATTGCATGTATGTGTACAAAACCGCAAACGGTTCGTATGTGTGAGTATACATTTTATTATAGCGGGTGATGAATAAAAGAGACATACATCGCATTGTCATTCATGTTTCATTCTTGTTAGAACATGCATAGTAACGTGTTCGACTGCATTTTATTTTGGTGTTAATTATTTGTTATGCTACCTAATCAAAGCCACTATCTTCAGTTTTAAATTAAAAAATACCGTTCCCAATGAAATAGAAGACCATCGCCTTTAAAGTGCCTAGTAAAAATTCTTCAAATTTAACACGAGAAAGAAAAAGAAGAAAAAGAGCGAGACAGAGAAAAAGAGAGAGAGCATAGGGTTGAGTAAGTTAAAAAGAGTCGATATCTTGTATTCCGCTTGAGATTTCGTCATTTATAAGCACAGCTATTTTAAATTTATTATGTCAAAATTGCGTATATTTTCGATAACTTAATGAACACTAAAATAGCTGTGGCAAAATCAATCACATATTTCCAATCATTTAATTGCAGTCATTGTATGAAAAGTGGATGGTTTTTTTTATCATCAAAGAATAAGACGGTAATATTTTGATTTCGAATGTTCTGAATTACGTGTCTGAATTGGCTAATTTTCTTCTTCACAATAGAAGCATATCACATTTGGATTTGGATGCAAGCGTATTACTATTGAAACTTGGGAGCTTCATTAAATCACAAGTAAGTTTTTTCATCGAAAATGGAAAGTTTTTTGAATAAAACAAAACACAAATGGAATGCAAGTGTCACATAGATAGCCGAAGCGTAAAATGTGTGAAAAAGAATAACCCATATAGTTTGTCAATGGCGGTATTGTGTGGAGTTCTTCGGAGATGGCATACAAAAGCTGTGTGTACGATTACAACAGCAATATTTGCTGTGCATACATTTATTTTGTTCAAACGAACATAATAGTAACCGCGCACAACTGGATACACGCCAAGTTACTTATCATCTCTGTGTAAGAACGATACACATAGAAATGCTGTTGCGCTCGTACACACAGCGTTTGTATGACATCTTCGCTGAACTCCTCACAGTACCTCCATCGACAAAATTTCGCCGCCAATGAATTATATGGGAAGAGAGGAGATACGGTGAAAAAAAAACAATTCAAAACATATCTTGTTTTTATATATGTATATGTAACTAGAATGATTCGTAAAACAAAGTTCAACTGGCTCGTGCCGAACGAAATGATATGACGATGTTACTTAATGCACGAACATGTGTTGAGTTGTTTTTTACACGCAAATTCGTGTTTGCCTCATTCTCTTACTCTTCATCTCTATTCGCTGTGGGAATATACGAATACGCAAACAACGAATTGAAGAATTCGTTGTAGAAACGGAGACTTGATGTCTGAGAAATACGTGTCGTCATTATATGGGTAATTAATAAGTGTCAATGCAGTGATTGCACGAAGTAATTCCATTGTACGGCCAGTGTGTGATATATGGGTACATGGATTTTCATATGGCATTTATTTGAAATAGTTTAGGTTGTTTATTTAAATAATTTTTAATAAAATATATTCAGATTCAGAAGCAAATACAATGTTTTATACATTTATTGCTTTCTCACTTTGTATAAGACGAATATGATTTGGATTTTAAGAACGAAAGCTCGTAAATTATTACTTTGAATGGTCTGATGCTGCGACGCGGCTGCGTGAATAGTAAAAGATGACAGAAAACACTTCAAATACATTTCAAGTACGTGGAGATACGTTTCGCTTCGAATATATTTTGATTCAGCGACGAATCGCTTCGAATGCATTTATTGCGGTAGGTGGTGGGAATAAATAAACGCCCAGTATATAATTAGCGAAAAAAAAGAGTCGCATTCAAGAATTGGCGAATGATAGAGCTGTATAATGTATTATTAATTCATCGCCTCCCATCATTTTCACGCGCATGATCACCACAGACATTAAATTGAGATATTTTCAGCCAGCTGGAAAGCGATTGTAACACTTGTTATAAATCACTTCTATGGTTTTCACTCCATTTTAGCACCACACCCTGAAAATATCTCAATTTAATGTCGGTGATATTTCATACAACCTCAAATGCAATTCTTCTCATGTGGCAGAATTTTGAGGTTGCATGAAATGACTTACGACCGATGTGTAACATATAAATGGCATGACCAAATTGAATGGTATAGCAAATGTTTATAAAACTACATTTTTGTACAGGTGAATACAAATTTTATTGAAATAACTAACGGCCATCCGCTGACGGTAATTTCTTGGCCGGCACCAAGGTCTTGTTTGAATTGAAATTATTATAATTTATGCCACGACTATCACCATCTCCGAATGACGAATTACCAAAACTTGGATGAAGTGTAAATGTATTTCGGGCCGAAAAGTATATGCTGAATTTTCCCGGTTTAAAAGATGCGCAATTTTCTGAATTCAAATGAAATGGCGTTCCACTATAATCATTTGCTTCAAACTCTCGGTTTTTTGAATTTTCTGTTAATTTCTTTGTTTCTTTCAAAACTTTTGCTAACCTCCTTGCTTTCTTCGAATCTCTCGTTGGTCGCTGTCCTCTCTTGTTTCTTGTTTCATCTTTCTTGTTTCATCTTTTTTGCAAAACTCTTCAGTTTTTCAGTTGACGAATCGTGCATGATATCGTAATTTCGTTTGATAGAACCATTTTTATGCATTTTACGAAAATTATTTTTTGAACTTTTAAAATGAGCTTAAGTTTGGATTTTTAAAGTTTTAGTTCACTGTAATTTGGGTTTAATACTGAGTGAAGAATAAAAAAAAAATGGTCGAATTAAATATTTTCGTCACCGTTGTCTAATTTGATACTTCTATTGAATTCTGAATCTTTTTTCGGATTGAAAATATTGGAAAAACATTTATTCGATTAGAATGTGTACTATGATAAGACTTGAAATCAGAGAACGGAGTTATGATTCAAACTTCGTTCAAACAACCAGATATCAAGCACAAAGTTTTCAGCAGAAGGCCCAAAGCCGCACCAGTACTGACATTTATATTACGGTAGGTCAGTTAATGAACGACTCACGCACACTTACGCTCATATACATGTGTACTATTCGGCTTTCTCTCATCGTCTCTTTTCACATTTCAACGCGCATGACCTAATACAAGCGAAACTGTCTTAAACTCACATAAGAAATAATGTGTGGAAATCAGTGGAAATATTATGAACGGTATATTTAGCATTTAAAATGAGTTTCGCCAATAAAAGGGCCATGAATTCAGAGAGTAATAAGAAATGAATTGAAACAACGATTTTTTCCAATTTGTAAATCACTTTTTTATAATTTCATTGAAATGATGAAGATTTTATATGAATGAACCAGAATCGGAACTGGTAACACTTATGTCATCATATCCATCCCGTCTGTATGATCCCGATGGTTTATTAAACGTTGAAAGTGCGAAAGCAACCTTATGCTTGCCACCATTTCCGTATGGTCTTAGTGATTTGTTATACGATTTTGGTGATCCATGGCGCTGTTCATTTGAAGCGAAAGTTACGTTACGTTTTCCAACATTTCCACCATTTTCATATGGTCCCGATGACTGGTTGAACGATTGTCCATAATACGGTCCATTCAGAGCGAAACCGTTTCGCTTGTCACCTTAACCAACGCCATTACCGTAAGGTCCCGGGGATCTATTAAACGATTGAGGTAACCCGAAGCGCGATTTATTCGAAGCATTTCTAGTGTCACCATAGGAACCTTGCCCATAAAGCACCGGCGGTGATCTATTAAATGTATGCGGTGATCCGTGGCGCGACTTATTTGAACCAGTGCCATATGCATTTCCGTGTGGTCTCGATTTTTCTCCGTACATTTTTGATTGACAATTTTAAATTTTAAGCAGTGATTAATTTAAAATTTTGATTTCACTTGAACTCAAGTGAGTTTTTTTTAATTCTGTTACCACTTTCGAACCGAATTGATTCGCTGAAATTTTAATACTGACAATTTAAAAATAGGAATAGACATTTTATATTTTTCGTTACCAGTGTCTACTTCGATACTTCAGTTTTTTTTTTGAATCAAAAATGTCAAGGAAAAATTTGAATAATGTAAACTAACGATTTGAAATCAGTAGCAAGCGAATTGCTGTTTTGATCTTGAAGTTTTTTCCCTCCTTTAAATCACAATTTGGTTGCAATTTTTTAATCAATAATTCCAATGATCGACTTTTATGTTAGTTAGTTATTTCTCACGGTTTCATGAATAGCATTCAAACTCTATCCTGCTCTATAAAAGAAGACGTATTTTATACACTTTTCAGCTGTCGATTGCGCGTAACTGGTGAAGGACACAAATGTCTTTGGCAAAGTACTTGCCACAAATTACCAGTTTGGCACGATCATCGGCTGAAAAATACCATCCAGGTTTTTCAGTCGATAAAAGTATACACGGGGATTCATTTCCCACAAGAGGTGTGTGGTAACACATACAAGTGGCTCACGATCACGGAGTGCGAATATCGGAATAATTTAAACAAAAGTATATTTTAGACCGAATTTCAGTTCGATTTTTTTTTAAATGGAGTGAAGATTTTTATATAAACTTGAAATTATCAGGTAAGTAACATCGAAATTAATTTGAGTGACTTTGAAGCTGGAAAGTAAACACTGAAGATTATCAAAGGTAAATAATGCAAATCCGAATTATTTACTCCACGTCAAATTTCAAACGATATTGATTTCAATGTATGTTCAGTGTGTAATGTGCGTAATGGTTAGTATGTAATACGTGATTATTACCAAACAATGTTATTTTACTTCAATTTTTGTTTCAATTTTCGTCTCAATTTTTGTCTCAATTTTCGTTCATTGACCGTCGTTCGTTTATATTTTTTCGCAGAAAGTGTTGACGGAAGTCGAACAAAAAAATGGCCGAATCAACTAATGACACCCTGGAGACAGCATTCACTACTGTGCTTGGTGACACCACCCAACCCGATAAAAACGAAGAGAACCCAATCAACGGTGCTGTTGATGCAACTTCTGAAAACAAATTTGATGAACTACCTGCAGACGTTCTATTCAGTATTTTTGAATATTTGCCGTTAAACTGCTTGTTATCTCTCCTTAGAACATCTACTCGGTTGCATGTCGTTGTAAGCGTTTTTCTACGGCGCATCTGCAAACGGCAAATGATGTCAGTGAAACTGACAAAAAAAGAAGTCATCACAAATTCAAAGATTCCTTTGGATTGTATTCGGCAAATAACAATCTTCGGGAGTGCTAAACGTTTGTTTCGTTATGTTTCAAACAGTTCACAATTACAACATGTTATTTTTAGAAATTTATTACCGGTGAAAGCCAAACCAGGATTAAATGTAATTGAGTGCATGGTGGAACCTCTGAAAAACATTCACACTGTTGAGTTTATCGTCCATCAATTTCGCGGTGAAATTATTGACCAGCTTTTAATGTGTTGCACAAGCATGGTTAATCTAATTATCACCGCAAATTCGACAAAAGGGAGCCCGTCGACTTTCTATAGAAACATATACCCTTCACTCAAAAAGATTCAGTGGGACGAAGGTTTCAATGGCAAGGAAGAAGAACTTTTAATTCTTTTGAAACGAAATCCAACCATAGAGAATTTTCAAATTTCCCGAAATTTAATACAAGCTATTAATTTCATATATCAAAACAGTCTTGTTCTGAACGAGTTGAGCTTCCATATAAAAAAGACAGAAAATTTTACCGAAATTGTTAAAAAAATGATTTTTTTGTATGAAAATGGACATTTTCGGCAGCTGGAATTGAAATTCGAGAGCGGAATCATTCTCGAAAATTCCATCAATGATATCAGATCTCTCAACGGTCTAAGTAGTATTCATTTCAACGGTAAATACTTCGACTCCATTGGAGTATTAAGAAATCTGAAGATGCTACACATCAACAGCATGGAAGGTGGAATAGAGGCAGCCAATCAACTTCGCTCTTTGCAAAAATTAAGTATTAAAACAGCCAAATTCAATGATATCGAACCTTTTATTTGTCATTGTGCCGATTTGAGGGAAATTATAATTGATCATGTGGATGGCGGAGAGGTTGTAAATATCAACACTCTTAATCAACATCGCATAGCACTTCCTGGTGCAACGCCTGTAAAATTATTCTTGGAAGAATGGGCATTTCTTGATGCTTATAAGTCAATTCAGAAAGACAGCAGATTCATGAATTTGATTGAAATTCGCCGAGCCGACTCATATTGTGACTTCCGTTAAAAAAAAAATCATTAATACAATAGATCTGAAAATATTTCGAGAGCAAATACGGAGCCTGACTGTAATTTTCCTAATAAAGCACAATTTCACAGAAGGAATGCATGAATGATCATTTGATTTAAAAGTGATGAAAGAGCAAATTGCAAGAAATACAAAAAATGCGTGAAAAAAACCTTTTGGGGACTTTTACAGTGACATTTTTTACAGAGAAAAACTAAAAGTAATCATTTTTATCACGAATCTAGAAAGCATGGAAAACGTTAATTATTTATTAAATTTTGAACAATTTTTACCAAAGTGCCATTGATAGAAAAAATGTGCTGAAAAAGTGGATCTAAAATTAAAATTAAAATTAAAATTTAAGAATCTAAATAAATAAAACATTACAAATTTGTTTGGCTATAAGCAGAATGATTTTAAATTTTGTTGAAAAAAGGGACAATATAGAACAAATTGTAGTAATGACAACAGAATTTCACTTCGCTTTAATTCTCACCCATCCGATTTATTTTTTTGATATGAGTTTTTTATTCGTAGAAAAAAACTGAGAAAAAAACATGTCCAATAGTTTTAGTAGTCGGTAGCTTCCACTAATTTTTCTTTTCATATTTATTGTTTGTGAAATAATTTTCCAATTTTTTTATTTTTTTAACGTCAAAACACAAATTAATTATCCGGCTAGTCATCAGTCATCATTTTTTATTTGTTAAATTTCATATAAAAACGCTATATTTAATTGGCATTTTAAAACCGGCTGATATCATTTATGTATACGTTTATTAACATATGTTCACATTTGAAATAATGTTTTGGCATATTTTGGCACATGAAAAATTAAACGGAATTTATATTGCGAATTTTTTGTTACACATTTTTCGTGAAATTTAATTTTATTAAAAATTAAAATATAAGAAACAAGTATCACAAATTGAATGCGCTGTTTTAAACTGTAAAATTAATGCCTTCTTTAAATTCTTAATGAGCCTTAAATCAAACATTCAAAATTCTATTTCTTAATTCTTTTTAAAATTCGAAACATTTGCGAAATTACATCAAAAGCGTAACATTTTCAAAATCTATCGAATATATGAGTCGATCCGTTCAGATTGTCAGACTTAATGTCATAAGTCATCACAACAGATATTTTTTATCGGAAAAATCCAATGACTTAGGACACAATTGTATTCAAAACCATATTAATTACTTAAGATTTACGCAAAAAAAGTTAATTTTTATAAATTAGAAAAATCAGTTCTGATGACATTATTTTCATCGTTAATCCAAAATAAGACAGTTCAAAAATTACGAAGTTGATTTTTATCAAAAAAAAAAAAAAATATTCAAAAAAATTGTACCGATTCAATAAAGACTAAACTTATCTAAAATTTTACCAAATCAACTGCTTTTTCACTTACTAAATTTTGCTTTTGACCAACAAAAATAATCTTTTTCGATCATTTTTTTCATAGAGCATTTTCAATTTCTAACTCAAAACCAATAGGAGTTCCCCATCGTCTACTTCCACGCTCAATTTCATACGTTTTTCATTTGATTCCATTGACATTTGTGCAGTGGCTCTTTTACTTTCCATTCTATCGTTGGTTCTTGTGGTTTTGGTCATTTCTTTCAGTTTACAGTGATCACAATAGTTGGCCGATGCCGGGCTTGATGTTTGTATGGCTATCTCGTTGGTTTCGATGACTGGCTTTACTGCTCCATGTTGAGACTGGTTAACTTCGTGAATTGCCAATGGTGTAACTTCAATGTCCGGATCCATCGATGAATCTTTGGACAGACACTCAATGCCAATTGTTTCAATTGTTGGCTGAATTGAGTCAACGCCAATTGTTTCAATTGTAGATTCAACACTGATCGGGTCAATTGTTGGTGCTTGAATGCTTGAATCTGGCTCTTTAGATGCACGTTCCGTGTCATTTGGTATCAATTCACATTGAATGGCCACATCCACCGATGTTTTGGTTACTTCTGTCTTTTCCATCTCCGAGTTGCTGCTAATTGTTTCAAACAATGTTGCTAAAACTTCTTTATTTAAGTGTTTTTCGTTCTTGTCTACATACTTATGAACAGCTGTATTCAATTTCAATGCTGAATGTTCCGTATTTGATATATCTACGTCTTTAGCGGCTTGTTTAACCTTATCATGCTGAGTTGGCTGCTCATTGTCATCGTTCGCCAATTGTTCGGCTCCATTTTCAACGACCATTGTTGATTTGGACACTTCTGTCTCCTCTGAGTCACTACTTACTTCAATTGTCATTTCTTCAAGTCTTGAATCTGTCGACTTACTTCCACATTCCATATCATTTTTAGTCAATTCGTTTTGAATGGATTTATTGATTTCTTTTGTCTTCCGAGTGTCTTCGTCTTCTGAATCACTGCTTATTGGTTCAAACATTGATGAATGCGCTGAACGTACTTCGCGTGGAAGACTTTTATTGATGTGTGCACGCTGCAGATGTTTGTTCAATTGTTTCAGTGTCAATTTCGATGAACAAAATTTACATTTATGCAATTCTCGACGACGATCAAAGTATTTATCGATGTAATATTCGTATGGCACATGAACATGCACTTCCGTATGGTGACAGCGAATATTGTCTTCGGGCACAAATGAGTAACATTGCTTACATTTGTAGTATAACATGGTGATAGACTGAAAATACCGCACCGGTACGATTGGATCTAAAATGGTGTGTCAAAGACGATTATTTATTTCCAAATCGTTCAAGTAGAATGCAATCTTTTAGATTTACCTTTTGCCACTCACTAATCGGCCGGATCCGTTAAACTCCCACAATAGAATCGAACAACAACAAAATCGACAGCAATTCAGCTTCTACTAAGAAAGGAGAATAAAAACAATGGTGTAAATTACCTCATTTTATGTTTATGAGAAAAATAAGAGCTACTGTTTCGCCGCAACGATTCAATTAATATTGATACAAACCACTTTGGCACGAGTAGTTAAATCCAACAATTCACAGCAACCATTGATTTTTCCATTAAAACGCACTAATTTTAAGTAATGTTTACAAAAAAAAAAAATGCCAACAAGTGCACTGAAATGAAGTCTTTTCGTTAAATTGTTTGTTCGTTGTCCAATAAATGATGAAATGTCTTGAATAAACGTTGAAACACTGAACGTCAGTACTTTGATGATAGTCAACTTTTTCCCATGTGTCATTATGAAATGTCACTTTGTATAACGAACAGTATCTCTCTTTATCTCAAAACAAAATCAGCTGACAGCTTGCAAGCGAGCGTATTGAAGTTAAAAGCAGTTTTGATTTCATTTTAAATCATTCGAAATTAAGACTTGGAATTGAATGGTGAACGGTTATTATTAGTTTTTATGAAAATGTTGGAGAAAGAGCATTGAACGATGTAATACGGTCACAATACATACGAGGAAACTTACTGAACCATATACCGACTAGATGATAATGGCATTGGTTCAATGATTATGGTGACTTCTTACGATAACAACACGAATGAGTAAACTCTGCAGCTCATCTCTACTGTCTCGTGTATTTCATCATACGTTCAGTTCGTTTTGAATGAATGGGTTAACAAAAGATACTTACCTTTCATAGCTATTGTCGTGTGTTCCCAGTGAGCCACAAGGGGCGATTGTTTCATATTTTTGTATGTGAATAGACGTGATGCTGGCTGCCCAAGCCTGAGAAATCGGATCGACGGCCAAAAAGAGGTTTTTATTATCCGTCCATTGACATCTTTAAGAAAGTCTATTTTCATAGAAAAATCATTACAGAATGACACTAGTGGCTTAAAACTTTCAACATTAATGTCTGTCAATCATTTTAACACAGAAATGATTCACTTTAATTTATTGTCATTACTTTAATTTGCTTGTAACAGTATAGTGAAATTTACATTTTACTTAATCCGACTTATTTATGTCATAAAATTATATAAATATTTTCGCTAATAAAAAAAATTACTTCAAATTCTAGCAAGTGATACTGTGAATGCAAATAATAATACTTCAAACTCATAATCGTTTCTTTAGATCTATTTGTATTAAAAATTCAAAACCAATAACCCAAATCGGTGGTCGCCAACAGTTTCAACCTCTGCACTCAATTCTGGGCACTCTTTCATTGAAGGTGCTTGTGTTTTCTCCAATTCCATTGGATCTGTTTGTGTTTCTTTGTCCGCGGTTATTTTCACTGGTGATTTAGATGCTTCTCTCATCTCAATATTGTCGGTATGTGATTCGATGCTTACAGTGTCAAACAGCTCATCATGGTTGTCCAATACTTTAGTTGAGTTATCATTCGCCAATTGTGTGTCCTTATTGCGAATGACCTGGGTGGGTGAACCTCTCATACTAGGCCGAGGCTCGTCATCCGACAATTGTTTGCGACTATTTTTATTGACCGATTCCGTCGATGTTTTCGCTTTTTTTTTCTTCTTACTAACAGGTTTTTCTTCTGACTCACTACTTATTGCCTCAAATATGGATTCCAACGATTCTTTTTCAAATAAATTTATATTTGGATGTCCGTACTTATAATGTTTTTTGATCTGTTTCTTTGTCAATCGACATGAACAGTAGTCGCATTCGTAGTATGGTTTACGGTAAATAAAGTATTCATTCTTAAAGTCTTCGTAGGGAATATCAGTATGTAATTTCGCATGATGATTTTTTATATCCGATTCGCGCACGAATGAGTAACATCGTCCACATTTGTAACACGCTTCCATGACGATAGACTGTAAGACTGAGTGCTGCTACGATTGGATCTAATCAGAATCAGTGATATGCAATAAAAAACGAATACTTAGACAATTTTAAGTAGACAACGTTTTTGTTTTACCTTCCGACACAGGTCTGTGTCTCTTTGAAATTGGTCGCTTTAAAGTCAGTCCCTTTGAACTCTCGCAAAACACGACAGACAATGCCAATTGAAGTTCTACCAACGAGAATAAATAAGGCGGTGAACTAAATTCACGCTGAATTTTGATGATCATAGAAAAATACACTTGTTTTCAATAATTCTTTTGATAAATGACATCCACTGAAATAAATTCTTTTAGTTTCATTGGAATCTCATTGTCTTTAACTATTCTGAAACAATCGTGAAGTGTTTTTATTCACAACACACCAAAAATATCAAATGCAAACATATTTTTTTAATAAACAACACGACCGAAAAAAAAAAACGCGTTGAATGATAAACAAACCGACAGTTTGCTGTTGTCAAATTCACTGCATTTGTATTGAACATTAAGGCGGGAATCAATCTGTCAAGTGTTGTGTGAAACGTCAATGTGCTGTCTCTTTTATTCTGAATCAAAACAAAAACAGGTGACTACAAACACAGTTCTGTATAATGTGGGGTTATGTTTAATTTGAAAACAAATCGGTTTTCACGTATTGGATTTTTTTTTTGTTTGAATGATTTATTCCAATTGGCTGTGTCCAGATGGTGAATATTATATTTAATGAAAAGAATTTTGAAGAAATTAATGGCAATTAATGCCAACGACAATTTGAAGTACGAGCATGCCAATTTTTCAAGTGTTTTTTATCTTTTGACAGACGTTATACCATTCTATACTACATATAGAAAATCAGCACGAATTATAAAGGGAGACGACACTTTTATCCATAGAGTCTTGATTAATAATTTACGAGTGAAGTTGATTGAATTTTCCACTTCTTCTACTACATTAAGGCAACATTTGATATAGATAAATCAACCATATCTATTCAAATAACCCGTTAGAAAAATATGTCTTGTATGTCAACAATGTTTACATATCGTCTTGTTTGAACGAATTTTGCGAATTAAAGAGAATATATTCAGGTAAATTGACTGTTAGAGTTGTATAGACATGAGAACAACCGAGCCAGAAATCGATTAATCTCCAAAGGTAATGCCGTCGGCACAATGTAGTCAAAAAAAAGTAGCTTGACTCGGAATTTACTTGTGACCTCCAATCCTTCGATCATCAAACCATCCTCTTTTCGGGTTCGAAACATTTATTTAAGATTCTCTTGGTCTAAAATTTCTCTCTCAGCTGGAAGCTGGTCTTTCATACATTTTTTCTACTTTCACAACCTTCAAGTGAAAATATTTCCAGTTTTGGTCCTATCGGTGACTTATGTCAAAATCAAACTTAGTTCAAACAAAATTTCGTTTTTTATTCATCGATACTAATTGGTTTCATTGTGAATGGAAAATTATGTAGAATGCAGTGATATATGGATAAATAGTGAAATTGAATTATTAATTATCAGAAATAGAATTCTATAAAATACACATTTTTTCAGTAAATTGGCAACAAAGTTACGGAGTCAATATATAAGTACCTATCGACTACTTAAAAACTGAATAAAACTTCAATGATTTAGTCAAGGCCTTAAATTATCCACTTAATAGATGTTTCCAAATGTTACTCGTTTTGGAACATTATTTTTCTTATTTATATGTAAGAATTGCTGGAACTGACTATGTATCGAAATGAAATTAATTGAATTTGTTTGGACAGCTTGAGAGCTTAATGCCAGATACATATATATTATTTTACATTTTTTTCATATTTTGTCATAAAGATTTCAATTTTAATCGGTCCAATTCACGCTAATTTAAAACCAATAGAAGTTCTCCATCATCAATTTCTATGCTCAATTGCATACGTTTTTCAGTTGGTTCCATTGATTTTTGTGCTCTTTGGATGTTCATTCTGTTTTCAGTCGCTTCTTCCATTTTACATTGTTCACATTTTTCGACTGATGACGTTTGTGTGGCGATCTCTTTGGTTTCGATGACTGTGCTTACTTCACCATGTTGGGGCTGACCAATGGCCGGATCCACTGATGAATCTTTGGACACACACCCACTGCCAATTGATTCAACGCTGATCGTGTCAATTGTTGGTGCTTGAATGTTTGAATCTGGCTCTTTACATGCACCTTCCGTGTCATTTGGAATCAATTCACATTGAATGGCCACATCCACTGATGTTTTGGTTTCGAATAATTGATCGAATTCTATTTCGGAGTCGCTACTTATTTCAATGGTCGTTGTTGTAATGCCTGAATCCAGCACTTTGAGTGCACGTTCAAACAGCAACGAATTTGGTTTGAACACATGGTTTATGTTGAGGTGTGCACGCTGCAGATGTTTGTTCAATTGTTTCAACGGCAATTTACACGAACAATATTTACACTTATGCAGTTCGCGATGGAAATCAAAGTAATTATCGACGTAATATTCATGGGGTACATTTGGATGCACCTTGGTATGATGTCGGACAATACGTGTTTCGTGAACGAGTGAATAGCATCGTTTACATTTAAAGTACCTCATGGCGGTGAACAAAAAAAGAGCATTGGAGTCACAGAAACCTGAATGGAGGAGACAAATAGTGGTGATTGAATTTTTTTTTAAGTCGATCCTTGGGTTTTTTTCTTTACCAATAGCCACTGATCCCTTCTTCAAAAGTCACTATCGGACCCGTTCAACTCCAACCAATGGTCGGCAAACAACAAAAGCGATTCTGGTTCTGTCAAAGTAAAAAATGGAATAAATACATTGGTGATGTATAAACTATCTCTAACCACTTTGCCACGATTAATTAAATTCAATATTCCACAGCATACACGACACTGGTTTTTCCATCAAAATATAAGCTCTTTTTCAGAAATTCTCTAAAAAAACTGCAATAAGATCTTTTCATTAAATTGTTTGGCAAAAATATGCATCGACGGTGCAATTATTGTTTTAATAATTGAACGTCAAAATACCGTCTAGAAATGGATTGAAAATGAAAATAGCTTAATCGGCAAAAGTGTCAATTACCAAACGTCATTCTGTATGTCTTTTGTTGTTAGTTAAACACAAACGACAGCATGTAAGCGACTTTGTTTATTTTTACAGACATACAGACGCTTTGATTTTATTTATTTTGATGTATTGGTATGTAAGTTTGAAATATGTAGACTAAATAGACCTTTAATATAGCACATTGGTAATGTGAATGACCTTCAACGGCAACTCTCTTTCTATTGACTACTATCATGCTCATACTTTCCGGTCCGTTTTATTATATACTTTACAGTGTTATTTTTGATCTTACATTTTTGGTGTCCACTAATTGGATTCAGTGCCAAATATATGAAAAAATCGACACTGTGTACCCAATTTGACTATGTATACGATCGCCACTAAGGCATCCAAAATTGAGAAGTAGTCCTAACCCTGAGCGTGTTTCTTCAGAACGAGCCTCGTGGTGCCGAGCAGGTTCCGGTCTCCTGTGGAGAAAAATTGTGTGACACAAAATGTATTCTAAGCTGCCAGAAACCAAGTTAAAATCTTCGGTCAGTAACTTCTTCTAACCACGACCTATCTGATTCATATACTCTTGGGGCTAGTATGTTTAATTGTATAAGACGTTAAGTTTCTATTTTTGAATTTAAAAAATATCAGTGCAAAAAAGAAATCTTCAAAAAAAGATGCCATTTTGTTCTAGTATATAGCATTTGTTTTATTGAAATTTAGTGTTCATTGGAGTCGTATGACTCTTGATTATGATTGAATTGCGTTCGCAACAAGATTACAATAATAATTGTCTCTCATAATAATACTCAAATTCCTAAGCATATATTTTGTTCTTTCCTCGTTTAAAACAATTTTCATCTCAAACTAAAAAAAAAGTTTTCTTCAATTTTATCGAATCACTGAATATAAATCTGTTGGTTGCGGCCTATAAATTTAATATAATAAATTGGTTGGTTCATTTTCAATGTGCCATTGCAAGGCACGTAAATAAAATCGTTCCCGATTGTGTGAGAAAAATATAAATTAATATTTTTCATATTATTATTATTTTTTTTTTCTTTTTTTTTTAAACTAAAACATAACATGTTTATTGTATCCCTATTTGGTTGAATTTTATCGACATTCAAAGTTTGAACAAAAAAAAAATGCTGCAATGAATTATTCACAATAATTACTTTTTAAATTAATCAATTAAAATCGTTTTTGATGATGCAAACACCAACATTGATTCAAAAATTTACTGTGATTGATTTAGTCTTTTTTGATAAAATATTCCCACACTGATTTCATGGCAATGCGATCGTTGAATATTTCAATTGTTTGTCCATTGGATTGCGTAAAAAGTGTCGGCGTACCAATTGCTCCGCACTTTGACACACTCAATCCATTTGTTTGCGGCACCGACCATGATACATTCCGAATGTAGATCTGATGGGGCAATGTTAGATTCAAATACAACATCGTTCCACTGCTGAAGGTTATTGTTAACATATCGTCTTTGTTGAAAATCGAACAAACTCTGAATTGAGAGAAAAAAATTGCATTTAATTGATTTGGTTGCGAGAACAATGAACAGACTATTTTTGAAGAGTGAAAACACGACTAGCAGCTACTAGCACTACCGTAGAATAGTCAGTAATCCTTAAATGAGCATCAGAGCTGTTATTGGAATCGGAGACGGGTGGATACCAATTGGTACCGGCTTTTTCTCCATATAATCTATCAAGTGCTGCACTTGAATACAAGAAAGAGCGGCAAAATAGAAAAGTATTTACACCTCCGTGGTGACAACAACAGCTCTGATACACTACCAACTTCCATCCATACACTTCAGTAAACAATTGTCAGTCAAAAATTGTTCAATGAAAATCACTTACTTTCCATAACTATTGGGAATGTCGTGTGTTTGAAGCGTTCGCCAATGGTATGGATCAACAGTTTGCACAGCCATAACTCTCAATTGTTTGTTTGATTCGTCATTTCCTTCATCCGACACCAATTGAAGCAGCAGCATATAATCGGGTACCTGTAATTCAATCAAAACCAATAGTTTTTTATTCATTCATTCTTTTTAACTCTCTCACTGACTGTCACCATCGATTTTTTTTTTTTTAAATGAGAATGAAATATTCAATACCCAACACAAAAAAAGAGTCTCGTGTAAGGCAGGTGCCAAACGAATCTGAATATTAATTTTTGGTTGGATACTTACATCGTCACCGATTGTCACTGTATAGCAAGCAATATTATGTCCAATAGTCGGTAGGTCAATTTCAATATCAATCAGCAGATTACCTAAGGGGAGAATCACAAAAGAAAAGAATAAAATTTAAAATAATCGATAAGTAATCGGAAAATAATCGAAAATAATCAGAAACCAGATTACCATTGCGATGGTCCCACATTGATACAGTTCTATCGCCACATCCAACAACATGGTAATCTGCACAGATTCACAAAATCAAAATAGAAATCAAACCAAAACCAAATAAACGATTTACAAAACATCTTGCAATCGAACATTTAAAATCTAAGGGAATTGATGCGTCAAAAATTTACCACCGATGGTGATCAGAGTCTTGATGTCGTGTTGCAAATCCGAATAGTCCATAATATCTTCGAGATTGTCAAGTGTTGGCATTTTTAGTGTGTATTTTATGATCCCACACCTTGATTGATTGTTCACATTGTATTCAGTCCAAGTCATTAGCACACTGGGTGATGTCTTTAGTGCGGTATAATAAATTGAATTGGCATATCTGAAAAAGAGTTAAACACAATTTTTAAGACAAAAAATCGAAAAAGAGGCGTAAAACCGAAAATTTAAAGACTGAAAAAATCGTGGACCTACCCTTTGATCGTGTCTAAATGAACGCATTCCATCACGATTTGCGGATGTTTGTCGGCGTTTAATTTTACAAAATACACGTTGAGATAGACAAAGGTCAAGTTGGACTGACGAAATTCATCGGGAGCTGATTCTTTTGCTCTTATTTCCACGTAAACCGGAAATGTCTCACCGATATCCATCAAGCGGTGCTGATACAATGCGTCAATTTCTTTGCCTGAAAAGAAAATTCAAATATTTGAAGAAAAAAAATTGCGGAAATTTCAAAAAAAAATTTTTTTTTCAGGCTTAATAAATAAAATCAAATAATAATAATTTATCGTTGAAAAAATTAGGATAAATATAGAAAAATTGAAGAGGAAAATTTAAAATAATTACGAAAAAATAATTAAATAATTTAATTTTTGATAAAAATTCAAAAAAAAAATTAAAAAAATACAAAAAATTTAATTTAAAAAAATGTTGTTCAAAAAAAATAATGGAAAATGTTTAAATTTAGAATAATTACAAAATTGAACTTCAAAGAGCAAATTTAATGGAATAGAAAATAGTTTAAAAAAGCATCGAAAATAAAATAAATAAATAAATGATTAAAAATAGTTTGTATCCCCACCTTCCGTCATTCGTGTTATTTCGCCAATTTTCATCCAAGACCGTGCAATGCCAAACATAGTCAACGCCTTTGATGTTGAATTCCAAAAGCTAATTTGTGACTCTTGAATGACAACAATAACCTCACTATCATTGGGCGATGCTGAATGGGTGAGAATTGCATGGACGGCACCATTTTTTTTAATATCCAATGGATTTCGAAATTGTGATTTATCCACGTGATTATCAAGATCTTGTTGGCATTGCATTGAACACGCAGATTCCACTGTAACAATCGGTATTCCATTCTCAATAACATTTGAATTAACAACAATTGCACTGTCTGTGGATGCATTTGAGTGTGTGATGGATGTTGGTGAAAATGAGTTGATTAAATCTCCACCGATGTTCATTGGTTGTACACTATTTAATTTCTGTACGCCATTTATTTTGGTATTAATTTCAATTGTTGAATTTTCTGTTTGTGTCGATGTTTTCTCTGTCGATTGAATATTGTTCGATGGCCGCTTTTTAACACGTTTCACCATTTGATGGCGCATTTGTTGTCGAATGGCAAAACCTTGTTTAAAACATTGTTTATATCGTTTAAACATTTCGGTCAACATCATTGGACTGGGCAACAAAACTTTTCGTTTCAAAACTCGTTGCCCTTTAACTGCTTGGCTACCACTGCTTTCGCCAAATCGATTGGCATCATATGTTGTGTTCGTGGTTTCAGTCTCATTGAACGATTTACCAGTTGTCGGCACATTAGTATTCGGATGTTGTTCATCGCCGTCCATAAACGGTGGTTCATAGGTGTGACGTTGTTTAATATGACTTGAGATCACATTCGTTTTTAAAACACCACCATTCACGATGGGTGACTTTGTAAATACATTACCATTATCTGGGCTGTGTTTATGTACATTATTTGGGCTGTGACACGTTTGTGTTGATGGTGATTTTTGGTGCGGTGATTGGTCATCTTTAGTGGATGTCCTCGTGTATTCATGCTGTTTCTGCTGAATAAACACACGTAACGATCTTCGATTATTGTATAATGCATCATTTGGACTTGGTTCCGGCGATACTTTCTCTTGCACCGGTGGATTTGTATCGATACCTAAATACTTGTAAAATTCCTTTTGATTATTTACCGGAATTTCGGTCGATGATGCCGGCGATGACATCGTTTTATCAACATTTCGTGAACGTTTATTACAATTTGCGCAACCACCTTCGTTCATTGATCGAAATGACGTATTTGGCGTTGTTGGTACTTTAAAACTATTATCCGATCGAATCGTTGTGTCTTTGTTATAACTAACACGGAATTTTATCGTTGATGGTATCTCATTGTCCGGCCTGTTTGCCACATTATTTAGAAGGGGCCGAACTGGTGACAACAATATTGAATGGGTTAATGGTGAACGTGTGACCAAAGGTGAATGATTGGTGGCCAGAGGTGAATGTGTGGCGGTTAATGGTGAACGGGCAACAGCTAATGGTGATTTATTGACGACTATAGGCCGTTGTTCTACTTTGGCCGATGGAATCGGTAACTTAGCAACTGGTGGTGATGGCGGCGATTTTTCTTGAATTTTTTTCGCCTTTTTTGTGGGTGATGCTTTTGTTTTTCTGGCTTCTTTTGGATCGGCTTTCGATTTTGGCGATGAGCTCGTTGGTTTATCGTCAGTCTTACGAGATTTTTCATCTTTTTTCGATTTTCGTGATGTGTATTTCGGACCCGGCTGTGTATACATCCGCTTTTGCAGCTATAAGGGGAGATTTGACAAAAAATTAGAATATTTTATGGAAAAAAAATCTTTTTTCAATGCACATTTTTATCTTGAACAATACTCAGAAAAAGTAAAAAAGGGTCCAAAAGACGAAAGAGCCTAACTACTTACTCTTTCCGATCGAATTGGCTTCGAGCTATATTTCTCCTCATCAAAATCGTTGTAAATATCGTCGGTAAGTTCGGCGTCCGAGTAATTCCAAAATTGAATTCGTTCTTGTGAATTCATGGGCTCCAAATCGGTATTGTGTTGCATGACCGCTTCTTCGGTCAACGGATCACAAGCGCTCAATACTTCACTTACTGCATCATCTTTCGATGATTTGGAACTATCACTGCTATCACTGGTCTCGCTACTGTCGCTGCTTATTTTATTTAGTTCATTTTTCTTGGATGAATTATGTGTTGATGCCGTGATATCCGATGGTGATGAATTGTCGTCATCGTCTGTTGATGGACGATGATTGCGAACAGTTCTTATATCATAGTCTGATGTTGCTCTGTTCAAATACTGTTGTTTTCTATCCTCTACATCCGTCCATAACACAAAATCCATTAAAACTGCATCATTTTATTAGATTAAAAAAAAATTAAAATGGAAATTACCTTTGCCAATGTGTGCCATTGTGGTATTGGCTCCGATACCCGAGCTCTCATCATCATCATCATCGTCATCATCCACATTCGACGATTGATGATCATCGTCATACTCATCGTCCTCATCATTTGAATTAGCTAAATATTGAAAATTGAATAAATGAGATGTCATACACCTGTCATATAAATAATTTCGATAAAATGGTCACACACAATCGTGTGTCACAACTCACTTGAATGCACACGGTTGGCGGACGTCGTTGGTTCGTTTTGCGACGATGCACTCCCGTTAATGCCGTAATTATGCCGCTTTTTTAATGGCACATTCATTATTACCGCACGCACACACACAACAACGTGCGTTCTATTTGCTGTGTGTTGTCTCTTTCTTTTTCTTTTCACACAAATTCACCCCCTTCTCTTTTTTTCAGACGATGAAAATGTTTTTTTTTTCCTTGTTGTTGTTATTCGATCACTGTTTGGTGCTGACAGACAGACACATACATTCCGATAGGCGAAGAAAAAAAAATTGTAAGCACAGATTTTCGTTTCTGTATTTATTCGCACCGTAATTTTACTGCGTTAAAACTTATGATAAAATTAAAATATGAACGATACGCGACGAGCGTGCCTCGATTTTAATCGGTTGTAAAATGTTTTTGCTGCTTTTGAGTGCAATCAATCGAAATTGTTTGACTAAACTACACACAAATCTCTTTTTTTCGCTGCTTTCTTGCTCTCGGCTTCTTCTTTTTCGTTCGTGCTCTGCTTTGACAACCATTGACTTGTCATTGCACAAGAGAGCGAATCAGAATTTATACACACATACACAGATACGGTGTGAGAGAGAGAATACGCGAGGGCGCCACCGATCTATTTTTGGCATTCTATCAAATGGACTACGTGAGAAAATCATATTTGAATTTGTTGTTGCTTTTTTACTTACGCCGTAAGTTCTTACTCGCATCATTTGTCAAATTGGAGTGGTATTGTTTACTCTTTGATATAATTGACTTTTGGATGATAGAAAATTACGAAGTAGTTTTTCTTTCACCGGTCATTTTGTATTTTTCCGATTTTTTTTTTTTTTTTACTTTTTGGTTCTTCTTGGAATTTTTTCGTAGTTTTTTTTCTCTTTTCGCTCATTTTAGCGGGAATTTATTTTTTTGCGGCAAATCATATCTTTGTGGATAAAGCTCAAGTTCGATTTCATGACGCGCCAAATTCCATTTATGTCAATGAAGACTCTTCCCAATGAAATACTGAAAATTCACGAAAAAACACCACAAAAAATCATCTTTTTTTCTAAATTTCATTAAACATTTAATCCATTAAATTCCCAACATGTTTCTATTATCAAAAATATGTTTTTTTCTTCATCAATTCAAGTACCGAAGAAAAAAAAATTCAATGCCATATATATAAAGAGAAAAAAATTGGAAAAAAAAGCAATTGTGTCCATGGACTAGAATTGAACATTGTGGTAGCTTGGGCTTATTAAAGTAATTATTGCCATCTTAAATCTCTATCATAAAGTACACCATTTTTCCTCTACTCCTCTATCTCTCTCTTTCGTCTCTACAATAAATTTGATCTAAATTATTTAACCATAGATTTGTGTTGATTAATTTGTATGTTTTCTAGAAAGGTAAAGCAGTTGTTGTTTGGTGTTATAATTTGGTTGTCTTTCGTCCCACACGACGATACTGTTCAGTTTGATTTTTGTAGTGAATCGATTTGCATTTCCAGTTCGGCATCGGACAATTGAATTTCTCGCAACGTATTGATGATCATATATCGCGAAAATATGATGTATAATCGTCGAAACCATACCATTTGTGAGTGATGTGCGCGCATTGCTTTTTGAATTCGACAAAAATCCGTCAAACCTACTATGCACCATGTATTTGATAAGGTCATGCTTAACAATAAATCAAAGAGGAACGAATATTTTCGGCACACATTCACCGAATCCAATGTGAATAAACGACAACCTGCAAATTAAGATCCGAAAAAAAATATTCATTAGTACATGCCGAGAAAAAAGTATTGCCGAATGGTTACCTTCATGCAAAAGATTTGCCACATAAATCGATATGCTTGAGTAGAATATTGCGCAGTGATTGGCATGATGACTAACACCATCCCGGTCGAATGTGATGATTGTGTCAATGTCCAAACTGTGAACTTGTTTCAGTATTTGCTTAGCGATTATTTGTGGTTTCCAGGTCACAGTCGGATCGTCAGGTAACAATGTGGCGTTTACTAATGTTATATTTTCAGCGGGAATTTGTAAAATTTTACACGCGTCCCACAATTCACGTTGACGCTGATGGCCCAATTTTCCATGATTGCCTGCAAATAGAAACAAATGACGATTTAGATTTCGATGACGCATCGACTCCGCCGCAAATAATGAAATGAGCAATGGTGACAATTGTTGATATTTATATGACTTTGAATCGAATTTTCATTGACTTTTCAGCCATTTGGCTCTGACTCAATTTTCATGCAAATTCAAGTAAATTTTGTGATGCAGCCGAAATTTACGCGATTTTCATGAAAAAAAACGCCAAGGACAATGTGCTATTTAGCAATTTACAGCATTTTTGCACCAGTTTTGATGTCAAAAGTTCGAAAATTACAGTTTCCATGTCAAAAATGCATGATATAATAAAATACATTGTTTTTTTTATCAAGAAAAACCGATAAAAATACATTTTTCATCAACACCACTTGAAACCACTCATACTTCATGAAAATTTCGTCGAATTTATCCATCAGAAAAGAAGGATGTAAACAGAGAAGAAAGAAAAAGCTAATAAATCGGCAATTGAATTTTTAATGAAAATTGACGCAAAATCATGCCACATTGCAGCAAAATATTCGAAAATCAAATTGAATACAAACCATTGGATAAGCAGAGAATATAGACATGGCAATCGGGTCGTTTGGTAAGTGAAACGATGGTTGGTCCAAAGAACATGGATTCATCATCCGGATGGGCTGTGATGAATAAAACACGTTTGCATGTGTTTGGAAATCGAACATTGGTCGCATTTCGATTCCACAGTGTTGCCCATTTTCGAAAGATCAATATATACACAATCAGGCATAGAATTGCGTAAAATCCAATACACACCACAATATGCTCCAGGGCGTCAAATGAATGGCACACGGCCTGATTATAAACTTTAAAAATGATTTCACTTAAATTGAAACTTTGGCTTTGATTTAATGCTAATTCGTGACGATTGGCTGGTGTTGATGGCAGCGGCGATGATGACGGTGACGTGATCGCCTCATTCATTGCCGAAATTCATTTGGTAATCAAATTTTGTTTTCACAAAACGAAACAAAAAGCGAACGAAAAAATTAAAAAAAAAAAATGCTTTCCAATTCCGAGAAATCGTGATGTTTTAATTTGCACAAAAATTCACTTTGTTGCCACAACAAACGATGCGTTGGTCAAATCACATAGCACCAAATTGTCTTTTCGTTTTTCGTCACACGGTCGCAAATTCACACAATTTTCATTCATTCCAAATTTATTCAATGAACGTCAAGCTCACACTTGACTTCTTCTCTCTTTTTTTTCTCGCACACACTATTTTGGACATATAAATTGAAAATTTAATCTATTTTTGATTGTTGACAGCAAAATTTTGCGAACTTCTTTTTTCCACACTCTATGTGGTTTTTCTTCTATTGCTAACACTGTCGCTGCGCTGCAATTGTTGTTTTCCTCCTTTGGCAATTATTTATAGATTTTGTGTCACTACGAACAGACTTTTGACAGTTCGTTTATTTAGTGTTTTGCATTTTCCCCATTGGCGAATGGATTTTTTCATTACAGACTCGGCATGGGCTTGAATTGGTCATTTTTTTGGAATTTTCTTTTCATCTCGAATTTTCCCAATATTTCGGTACTTTTTTCGGCCCGGGAATTTTTTTTTCGCCGAAAAAGTGTTGAAATGGTTTATCCATTGTACCAATAGGGTCATCGAACAGAGTAGCTGTCTGAGAGCTGTCGCGCATAGTGCGGAGAGTATGAGAGCGATGAGTGTGTGTGAGTGAAAATGAGAGAAGAGAGTTTTTTTTTTCGTTCTGTCGTGAATCTAACCTTAAAACAATTCGGACATATCGGTGTTTCTGAAAAGTCAATTCAATCGGCTATAGCGACAAACAACAATTTCAGAAAATTAAATCACTTAGCATACTTGATGTATTTAGTTTTCAATCAGTGTAATCAATCGAAATAAAACGACAAATAAAATGTCAAAGTTTGATTCAGTGGTTGTGGAACGCCGGTTGCGACCAATTTACGGTGAGTGCAAACTATATTGTTCCGTCTTTCAGCCCAGACTAAATTCAATGTTTTCTCACTCGTAAATAGATTCGTTTGAGGTGGGCAATAACAAGAAGGCATTACACGAAACGGAAAAAGTGTTGAAGAAAACACCAAATTTACGGTGTGCCCGAGCACTGAAAGGTCTGGCATTGATGCGATTGGGAAAAACTGAAGAGAGCAATGCAATTATCAATCAAATTGTTGCCGAAAAACCCAGCGACGAAGCAACCATGCAAGTTCTTTCCTACATCTACAAGGAAATGGAAGAATGTAAGTAAAAAAAAAATGTCAGTCAAGGTCTCTCAATCATATTAAATGGCTTTATTTTATCTAGTCGCAAAGATTTGCGTGATCTACCAGAATGCAGTGGAGAAGGATGGCACCAACGAAGAGTTATTAACACAATTATTCATGTCATATGCTCGAATTGATGAATTTGCGATGCAACAACGTGTCGCTATGGAACTGTACAAATTTACACAAAAAAAACCATACTTCTGCTGGATTGTGATGAGTTGCTTACTCAAAGCATTTCGTGGCACCGATAAAGATGATCCGACCAAACGAAAAGTGTCACTGGAATTGGCACAACGTATGATGGAAAAAATGATTAATGAATCGAAATTGAATGCCGAACAAGATGCTCAATTGTATCTCATCATTTTGAATGAACAAAAAAAGTACGCCGAACAATTGACATTTTTGGATAGCACCACATGCAAGAGTATCTATGCCGGCGCACCTATCGAAATGCGCATCAAACTCATGAAAAATCTTAAACAATGGCCAGAACTGAACGTACTGTTGAAGGGACTTTTGAAGGAACAGTGAGTATTTTTTTTTTTTTTGAACATTTCCAGAATGGGAGTTTTACTAATTTTGTCTCTGTTTTTTTGACAGTATCGACCGATGGGACTTATACCAAGATTACATACAAACCGTTGTTGAGCTGGTGAAAAATAAAACCGCACCAGAGACTGATGATAAAACATCGTACGACACATCGTTCGAGTCGTGCCATGAATTTTTGTGCGAAGTAAGTTGCTTGAAATTTAATTTTTTTTTAAATAATTATGAAAAACATTTGGATGTGAAAAAATTTCTTATTAATTTTTGTCGATTTTTCCCAAATTGTTTCCGCTTAATATGTATTTACTATTCCGATGTAATGTTCTGAATAAGAAATTTTCTTTCAACAAATTGTTACGATTTGACATTCGCTTAAATCGTGTCATTGAGACTTTTTACTGACTCGAAAATCATAAGGGGATTCGCAAATCACATACAGACTCTTATTGATTAGTATAATTTACATGAGACTCTTGCGATTCACATATACAGCATTAGTTGAGCTACACAGAAAGAAAAAATGTGGTATTTTTAATTCAATTTTGGTAGATTTAATATAAAATCAACCAACAAGGAATTAAATTTACCATTTTTGACATCTCTGAGGCATATTTTTCAAAAGTGACCATTTGTTGAATAAGTTTTACCAACTGTTTCATTACATTTACCAACCTTTCGAAACCACAGATGACGCTAGTCCATGAATTTGGTGAATGTAATGAAGCAATTGGTAAAACTAATTCAACTGATAGTCTGTTTTTAAAAATATGCCTCAGAGATGTCAAAAATGGTAAATTTAATTCGTTGTTGGTAGATTTTATATTGAATCTACCAAAATTGAATTAAAAATACCACATTTTTTCTTTCTGTGTATTTGGTACCAATTAGCTTTGCTAAATGATATCATTTAGCTCCCGAACATTTTTCCGCGGAACTTTTCTAAATAACATTTTTCCTGTAAGCTCCTCATATGTCATAATCCCCTTGCATTTTCTATAAGTTTTAGAGTATTCTCTTGCTTCCATTCAGGTATGCAATAATTTTGAGTTTCTCCTTTTTTCCTTTCTCTAGAAAATTAAATTGAACATCTTCGATTCAAAAATGTCTCTATTAAATTATAATTTAAAATATATCACTACCAGCATCCATTTCACGTGGTGTTTTATATTCTTCGTCTTTTGCATTTTGATCTGCCCCACTATCAATCAAGAACTGTTGCACTTCTTTATTGTCTGAAAAGTGAAAACAAATTCTATATTGGAAATTCCAAATGTTTATTTTGAAATGTTTGGAATTACCATAATAGTATGCCATATGAAGAGGTGTCATCATATCTTTACATATAGCATTGATATTAGCTCCATGTGTGATCAGATATTCAGCTAATTCCTTTGTGCCTGGATCATTGATTAAATGAATTAAACACTTTGGCACATTGATCGTACACACATAATATTAATTATTTTTAAAAAATGAATAATTACCAAAACCAGCTGCGTAAAATAAAGGTGTAGAATTCTCTTTGTCTTTTGCATTAATGGCCGCTCCATGTTCAATTAGACTTTTACAAGTCTTCAAATTGCCTGAAATGTTGATCAAACAGTCAAAGTATTTGAATTTCATTTTTATTATTCAAAAATAGGAAATTATACCATTCAAGGCAGCCAAATGTAAAGGTGTATTCATATAAACATCCTCAGCAGTTATATTTGCTCCGTGTGCAACTAAATATTCAACCGTGTCATTTGAGCCTGAAATATTGAGCAGTAAAAAGTTAACATCTAGGTTAATATAGCTTAAATCGACTAAAATCAATTTTAGTTTCTGAACATATGGGCGATTACCATAGAGAGCGGCAGTATGGAGTGGTGTGAACTTTTCGTTGTCTTCAACATTCACGTTTATTCCATTTGCGATTAGGATTTTGCATATTTCCAATTTATCTGAACGTTAATAAATTGATTAGCTATGTGGGAAGATTAAAATTATGCAAAATTACCGAACATTGTTGCTATATGAAGTGCATTTATTTCTTTCTTGTGCACTGGAATCACATAATTCACATCAGCTCCATGTTCGATAAGAGTTTTAACTATATCCGTGTTGCCTGCAAAATATATGAATAAATACTTTTCTTTTCTATTCACAATTGAAAAATACCTTTAACAACAGCTAATAGGAGTGGTGTGAATCGAGAATCATAAAATTCATTCACATATGTTTCATAAAGTGTATTTACATTTGCACCGTTATCGATTAGAAATGTGACTACATCTACTCTGCCTAGATTTAATGAACGAAAATAATTTATAGTTTATATGGAGCCGTGTGGAAAAAAATTGATTGAATTCCACACTGAAATCGACTGAAATTGAATTTTATTAACTGAAGTCGTCTACCCAGTTGACTAATTTGGAACGTTTTTGTCTATATATATCTCAGTTGGCTTTAGCCAAAAACGTCCCAAATTAGTTAACTGACTAGTCAGTTTGTCACAAGGGATTGAGATTGAATATTATTTCGGACATTTCCTTTTTTTGAAGATAGAACTCAATAAAAAAATTGGAAACCGTTGTGGTCATATCAATGGTTCAATGAAAGGAATATTTACGTCTTCAACTAACCTGATTCAATGGCCTTGTAAAGATATTGACTGCCATCAGTAGCGTTGATATTGTCTGAGAAAATGATTAAAAACATTGACATAATTCATATTAGATTTGTTATTACTAGGGATTTTGAAGTTTCGGTATTATTTTGTCTTCTCGCACCTTGTACACTTGCACCGACGAGAAAACCGATCACAAATAAAAATTTCATCATCTTATTTGGTTTGATTAAACACTTTATGAATGTTAGAACAAAATAAAGAGATTTATTAACAAATTAATTCAAGTAAATTACACACGGACTCTATTCTTATAATGAAATCAAGAATCGAAATATGAAATTACCGAAAGTATTTTGCACATCAGAATTATCACTTGTTGCGTTTAACCTCCATATTTATAGCAATGACACCCGATTAAAATATTGTGGATAAACATATAGCTGAGATTGATACAAAATCTCAATTTCAATACAATGGTCTCAAAATGATGTCAAAATAAAGAGTCTTACGGGAGTAAGACGAACTTTTCCGCACGGTGGTATTTGCGTATTTTATTAAGAAAGTTCAAAATAATATTTGCTCGATTCTTCAAGTCTTTCAAGCGGCGTAAAGTTCGAGACCAAAATATGTTTCAACTTTGGCAACTAAATATTCTTTAATTTAATAGCAGAAGTAGCCGAGAAAATATCTTTCACACTTTCATGATGAACCCATTTGTACGACATTTGAAAGTATTCTATTTTCTAACAAAATACTATAAAAATATGTCTGACTTTAATTTTGCCATAAAGATTATTTTTGAAACACTTTTCATAACTAAAGTCACAACAAATTTGGATTTTTGTATGGGAGCCTTGTCTGTATGCTACCTTAATGGCGTGAAACTTTGCACAGGTTTTTTTTTTCACAAATAACATTCGGAGGGTTTGGAGAAATTTCAACCAAAATCAAGAGTACCTCCCATACAAAATATTCGTTTTTGAGCCAATTGAAAATTTTGTATGGGAGGTACCCCTAATTTTAATTGAAATCTCTTCAAATTTTCAGAATGTTATACTTTTGTGTAAAAAATAGTCTGTGCAAAGTTTCACGTCATTAAGGTAGCATACAGGCATGGCTCCCATACAAAAATCCAAATTTTTTGTGATTTTTTCAAGGAAACTGTATTAAAAATTGATTGCATCTCAAAACTAACGCCGGATTCGGTTTTCTCGTGCCAAAAAACCCCCAATACATATTTTTGAGTGTTTAAGTCTACATTAAGTATGACTTTTGGACGAAAATTGGATTCTTTTTCATAGGTATCACTCCAGGCATGGAATTTTTTTCCATCAACCAAAGTCGCTCAAAAGCTAATGATTTCTATTCCTGGGGACCCCCAATCATCCCGTGAAGTCAGATTTCAAATAACTTTTCTGGGTGGTGAAAAAATCGATGACGACGTACGACGTACGACGTACGACGTACGACGTACGACGTGGAAGCGACCCACAACAACCATGCTCAAAACGGCCTGATTCGGGTTCTCTGACCTCAGAAACGTCCAGAAAACATGTTTTTGAGGTTTCGTAAATTTTGACCTATTGCAATACTTTCCCCTTTCACACTAGGTGTGTGCGGAAAAGTAACAACCAATTTCATTTGATGACATTTGCTTCATAAAGCCAATTACTTTGAAATGTTTAAAAAGTGATAAGACATTTTACTTCTGTGTGAATAATGAACATAGTGGTGTGTGCGAAAGAGTAAAAATTAAGAATGTTGTTTGAATGTACCTTGAATACTAATATCAAAAACACTTGAAACGAAAGTAACGATTACAATTATAAATCTCATCACACACTTCATTATTAAATCAAATTAATATTCCAATCAAATTGCACGATAGTAAAATGACTCTCACAATGAAATTTATAAAGAGGCTTACGTACGCAAGCTGACTTTTCCGCATGGAACCGAAATTTTGGGAATAAACAGAAATGATGGTCTATGTATGGTTGCAGTAACTTAAATTACCGTGAAAACTTGTGAATATTATTTTCTTATCAAAATAAATAATCATACTAAGTCTAAAGAAATTTCAATCCAAAAAATAGCCTGTTCAAAGTTTCACATCATTACAGTACCACAAAGGCAAGTCTTTCATACAAAAATGAATTTTTTTTTCGATTTTTGTATGAAAAGTCTGTGAAAAATTGATTGCATCTTAAAACTAACATCAGAATCGGGCTTCTCGTGCCAAAAAACCCCCACTACACAGTATTTCAGCGTTCAAATTGAAAGAATATCATTTTAAGGCATTTTTCTCATAAGTGCCTCTTCACAGTCTAAGTTTTACATCGATCAATCAATGTCGTTGAAAATTTGACCAGATCTATTCCTCGTAACGCCCAATCATCCCGTAAAGTCACATTTTGAATTTCATGTCTGAGCACGAAACCATCGTGTCACCAAAATGGTTGAAAAATGATCAAAAAAGTAAAATGTATGGATTGTGTCCATTCGGACCCAAAAAAATTACACCGGTCAACAGATATTGCTCAAAAACTAATCAGCACGTCTCCTAGTAGTCCCAAATCATCCTGCAAAGTCAGAATTTGAATTGAGTTTTTGGAAAAAGATTTATCGAGTTAACAAATTTTGGCAACACGCCACAGGACACAGGACACAGGACACAGGACACATCACACACAGCGACGCACATTAATATGCCCCAAAATCATCTCCAATCGTGTTTTCTACATTAAATATGCATAGAAAACATGTTTTGGGATGACTTTAATTTTTTGGCCTAATACAATACCTTCCCTACACTAAGTGTGCGGAAAAGTAATAAATGACCGTTTAACCTTTAAATGTATAGCAAACGTTTGAATAAGACATTAAAATGATATAAATAATCTGGTGGTGGTTATGATTAAAAAACATAAAAGAAATTCAATGGCCATCATTCGTACATACATTGTTCTACTCCAAAAAAGCCCCAAAAAGATAAGACGCACGCGAAACATTCTAATCAATATTATTTTAAACCAGATATGGACACAGGGGGTGTAAGTCCGGATAACCCTCCCCCATGAATTATCTGACCTATCCCCCCAGGCGGCAGCCGAATATCTTTCAATTTGTTACTCCGATAACTCTTTCCCCAAAGGTGTAAATCAAGGTTTGAAATGTGTAATGGGTTTTTTGGGACGAAAAAACGGAATCCGACGTTATAACTGACAGCCTAATAGTAAAACCGAAATGGAAGAACTAGAGCGTAAAAACATGATGCAAATTCTTCAGCGTATATAGAGAACTTTCAAATTTTAGAACAAAAAGAGTTTGTAAAAAACTGAGGGCAAAAACACAATATATCGATTACTTGTTTTTGCCCGCAGGCTGGATATGTCGTGTTTTTGCTCTCAATTTTGTCTATAGTTTTTTTTCCTCGCAACAATCGGGATCTTGTTTTTACGCCGAAAAATTGATTTTTTTATACGCGTGTGATACGACAGTGTCATTCCAGCGGTCTTCCGTGTGATTCATACAATCCTCCCATGTAAATGGTAAAAAATGGCGAAAAATGAAAAAAATAATTAATTTTTTTTTTCTTCAATTCTCAAATACTCTACCATCACTTACAATGGCAAATAATGTAAAAAACTGCATGATGGCGCCATCTCTATGTGCTCATGAAAATTAGAACAAAAAGTTTGTGTAGAATGTTAATTGTTTGAAGTTTGAATACGGAATCATTTGTTGTGACGTCTGTCATTTTACGCTCGATAAAGATATACCGTGTAAATTGAACAAAAACCGATTTATTATTTGTATTTAGTGAATTTGTGATGGAAAATAAATTGAAATTACTTTGCACAGTTTGTGTCATCGAAATTAACTGCGAGGACGTTGCATATCACATGGTTTTTCTTCACACAAAATCAGTTGACATTTTTGACTTTTTCGCACCAAAAAAAAAAATGTTTTAATTGCCTTTGGTGCTCGTTTGGATCGCGAGTTCAATGCCAAGCACATAGAGATGTCGCTCGGAACGTGAAGCTCAAAAAAAATATACAGGTGATATAGAAAGCAAGTGATGGTAGCAAATACTACTCAACTTTCTGTATCATCTGGTGAAATCAGAATGAAAAAAATCGCATTCCTTATCATTCAAATCACGATCTGGATTTTTTTCACTTTTGGAGTGCTCTATACCGAGTCTCCGAGAGTTTCATATAAGCTTGCTATGTGATACCCATTGAATAGTGACCGAATGCCAATCGCGATTTTGATGATATGGAGTGCGATTTTTTTCATTCTGATTTCACCAGGTGATACAGAAAATTGAGTAGTATTTGAGAATTGAAGAAAAAAAAATTAATTATTTTTTTCATTTTTCGCGATTTTTTACCATCTATATGGGAGGCTTGTATGAAAAACACGGAAGACCGCTGAAATGACAAACGCCAAATATATGCGGATCTACGTCAATGTCATTTCAGCGGTCTTCCGTGTTTTTCATACAAGCTTCCCATATAGATGGTATGAAAAATCGCGAAAAATGAAAAAAATAATTAAATTTTTTTTCTTCGATTCTCAAATACTTCCCAATTTTCTGTATCACCTGGTGAAATCAGAATGAAAAAAATCGCATTCCATATCATCTAAATCACGATCTGGACTTTTTTCATTGTTTGAGTGCTCTATACCGGTCTCCGAGAGTTTCATATAAACTTGCTATGTGATGCCTATTGAATAGTAAGCGAATACCAATCGTGATTGAATCAATAGGCGTCATTTGGCTATTGCAAGGCGAGATTATATGAAACTCTCGGAGACTCGTTATAGAGCACAAAAAGTGAAAGAAAAAAACATTTTTTTTCTCAATTCTCGAACACCACTAAATGCTCTATATCATTTGCTGTGAAAAATTTGCTATCTCTTTCACCCAAATCGTGCTTGGCAAATGGCAAGTCGTTGTCTCATGCTATCACGCTCACCCTTGCATCTATAAATGTTTACAATGGACATTCTATATTCACACACAACTCACATTTGTATTTTGCTGCGGAATAAAAGTCATCGACACAAAACTCAAAGCGATGACCAAATACATTGTTAATAATTTTATTGCGCAGCAAAATATAAGTGCGAGATGTGTGTGAATAGAATGTCCGTTGTAAACATTTATACATGTAAGGGGGAGCGAGATAGCATTGAGACAACGATTTGGGTGACAGAGATGACAAATTTTTACGTTCTGATCACACCACATGATATAGACCATTTAGTGGTATTCGAGAAATGAGAAAAAAAAAAATTTTTTTTTCACTTTTTGTGCTCTCTTCACTGTTTGAGTGCTCTATACCGAGTCTCCGAGAGTTTCATATAAACTCGCCTTGCAATAGCCAAATGACGCCTATTGATTCAATCACGATTGGTATTCGCTTACTATTCAATAGGCATCACATAGCGAGTTTATATGAAACTCTCGGAGACTCGATATAGAGCACTCAAACAGTGAAAAAAGTCCAGATCGTGATTTGGATGATATGGAATGCGATTTTTTTCATTCTGATTCCACCAGGTGATACAGAAAATTGAGTAGTATTTGAGCATCGAAGAAAAAAAAATTAATTATTTTTTTCATTTTTCGCGATTTTTTTATCATCTACATGATCGTAGATATATGGTCCGCCTCGCTCATAAAAAAATCCGTTTTTTCGGCTTAAATACAAAACTCCGATTGTTGCGGGCAAAAGAACTATAGACAAACTTGAGAGCAAAAACACGACATATCGCTTATTCACTTTTGCTCTGATTTTGCGTATGTCGTGGTTTTGCTCTCAACTTTGTGTGTTGAATTTTTGCTCTCGATTATGATATGTGGTATTGTTTTACTCCAAACAAAAATACATGCTATTTTTACGCATAAGAAAATTAAGTGTTGGTTTTACTATCAGGCTGTCAACTATAGTTTTGAGATGCAATCAATATTTGACTCAGTTTCTTTGAAAAAATCACAAAAAATTGAATTTTTGTATGTGAGCCATGCCTTTATGCTACCGTAATGAGCGTTATCAGCCAGATATGTTCGTGTGTATTGCACACACATACGTGTCTGTGTGCAATACACACAAACATATCTGGCTGAGATGAGCGCTCAGCTCAGCGGATATATCTATCCATTTATGAAACACTGGTTCGATAAAGAAAAAAAATGTGGAAACAGTGCGGAAAAGTTGGACTTACCTTTTTGTTTTTGTTTTTTTTTCATTTCAGTTAATCGAGTCGAGCAATAAAAAATTCCGTGGACCATATTTGGCCCGTTTGGAATTATATCGTGTGATGGACAGAAATCAATTTGATGCTCACAAATTGCTTGGAGAATTCATCGAACTGCTCATCGATTATTTTCGAATTTTCGGCGAAAAACCGTGCTGTGCCAAAGACATCGTTCTATTCTTGGATGATTTGAAAGAGCAACAAAAACCGGAATTGGCATCGAAATTGATTCAGTTGTGCAACATTAGTGCAACGACATTGCCGCAAACGGTAAGCAAGCAAAGAACTTTTTTCTTCTATTTTCATCAAAATCAATTTTCTTTATTTTTGGCTCTATTTTGAATTTTAAAAATTTTTTTTCTTTCAAAAAATTACAATTTTCATCAATTTTTACCTTTACCTAATGCGGTGAAAAGTAAAAATCCCAAAAGAATCGAAAATGTTTTCAATAAAAAAACCGTTTGTCTATTTCCAGAAAGAGCAAATGCAACGTCACATTTGTTCGTTGCAGGTGTCTCGTCAGTGCGGTGCTCATGCATTGAGTGCTGATCATTTGACGGCCCTGTACACTGCATTCACTCTCCATTATGAGCATGGTTTGAATGCTTTTGGCATTGATATGTTGCCAACTGACATGGGTCTCTCGGATGCATATGCATTGTTAGCCGGTGAGTTAGGTCACTTTCGACTTCAAATCTTCCTAAGAAAAATAGAAATCCGTCGAAATACTTATAATTTCTCTCTCTCTCTCTTTTCTACAGTGCACGTGATGTACGATTTGGCGTTGCAATTGAAGACATCCGATCACTTGGTGGAAGCATTATGTTTATTAAACTATTTGTTAAGCAATAGTCCAAGTAATTTTCATGCAAAATTATTGTGTCTACAATTGTATCATCGCATCGGTTGTTATTGGGGCGCGCAAAAAATGTACGAAAGTTTAAATTTGAAATTCATTCAATTGGATTCGATGGGCTATTTGCATTGTTCACGATTGGCAACGTCTGGCATGCACGTCATGTCACGTTCTGTCTACGAACCAACATTGAAATTCTTCACCAATAGCTACAAAGAAGGTGAGAGCAATTTTTGGGTCCAACCTTTCTCATGCTGTGTAGAAAACTAAAATAAAAAAAAATTCATCTCGATTTTTCCTCCCAGGTCATGAATACGTATCGATGTGCTACAAATACGGCTCATTTTCGAAATTGCAAGAATTCATGGATTTCCACGAGAGTCTGGCGTTCAGTTATCATTATTCGTTGACATCGAGCGATGCAATTATTTCGGAGATCGTTTGTTTGGGCGGTGCAAATTCGACGCCCGAACAAAATATGAATGCATTCAAGTACATGCAAATCGATTCGGATCGTGATAATATTCAATATACAAAATTACGTGATAATCGAGATTTATCGGTTATCGTTCGATGGGATCCAAATCAAGAGGAAACACAAAAACGAATCAATGCACAAAGTTTCCAACAGGATTTGGATTTGTTACGAATTCGCGGCAATATGATTCGTTTGATTGCAATTTGCATTGAAACAGCCACGAAAGAAACGTATGGCAAACACTCGAAAAACGATGAAAATTCAGTTGCCAAAAATAAATGTGATCTATTGGAAATTCAATTGAACAATTGGACTGAATTGTTTAAAGAGATTCGCAGTGCAAACCATTCAGTTACATCGAATGAATATCTAGTCAATTTATTGCCGTCAAGATTGCACGGTCAACTTGATATGCCTTATGAAAGCATCTTCCACAGTTTAGCCAAATTGATTTTGTCGCTGGAACTGCGTTGCGTTGAACCGATTGAAGACATTTTTAACGCATTTGATCGACAACTTATTGACGCATGCAAAACCATTTGCAGCACCATTGAAGCGTACAATGCCGACGATGATCGGCTATGGAATCGACGCAATGTTCAAGAAACCATTGCTCATGGTATTGAGGTGAGTTTGGTTCATTTTTAGTTGTCTCAAAATTCACCCTTTCCTTGATTGAAGCTATCTTCTATCTTTCTAGTTTTTCTATCGTTAAAATTAATAATTTACATTTTTTTCACAGATTTTTGCTTTGGCCACCTTCGTGATGTCGGTCGTACATGAAAAATACCTGGCCAATACAAATCGTCAAGCAAAACGTAGCAAAAAGAAGTCTACAACGGATGAAACAGCTGGAAAAAACATTTATACACCAAACGATAAGGAACGAGTTAATATCATTACTTCGTTGATAAATCGACTCAAAACCGAATTAAACACCATCGATGCAGCTATGGGTGAGGAAATCAATTTTTCTTTTTCAATACTCGAAATGTTCTTAATTCACTTAATTGAACACATTTTATTGTATTTTTTTTTTTGTCATTTAAATTAATTTTTTTTCTCATTTTTTTATTTTTCAAATTTTTCATGACTTTTCTTGAAGTTTTTTTTTTGAATATTTAAAAAAAAATCGTTCAAAATTTTGCTATTCAAAATTAAAATGATTTTTTCTTCTTTTAATTTTTTTTTTATCCGAGAGAAATATACCCTGAAATATCAAAAATAGCTCGATTTTTTCTAACAAAAAAAAATTAAATTTATCTTTCAGAATCATGGAAAGCACCTCGGCTTCCCAAAACCTTGACCGAAACCTTGGCATCACTCTCGCTAAATCCAAAAGTCGAAACTTTGGTCGATAGCACAATAACGAAAAATCATGAAATCACTATCGACGAAATTCGAACCATCCTAAAAGACAAATTACGCTGCCTGAACTCTCTGAGCAAAGTGAATGTATGAAATTGGTTACATCACACAAAATTGTACATAAAAAACACATTCGTCTTCTCTTTTTTCCTTTGTTCTTTACCTATTTTATTCTATATATAAAAATAGAATTTGTAACCCGGTCAATTGTTAGACTGTAAAAGATAACAAAACAAAAACACCAAAACACCATCCCATATTTCAATTTGTTCCCAAAAAACATTTACAAAATTTATTATTATTATTTTTGAAAAATCATTTATTAGCCACATAAGTTGGCCGAACAATTTTCCCATGGATTAGAAAAATAAAAACAAAATTGAATATTTTTTAAGCCAAAATGTGACGCCGTTTTTTTTTCGTAATGATAAAATCTTCTTATGATAATTCTTTAATGATACAGCCGGCGATGACGAGCCGTTGAATTTCCGATGTGCCCTCGTAGATTTCGGTAATACGTGCATCGCGATAATGACGTTCAGCGGGCATGTCACTGACATAACCCATGCCGCCTAAAAAGTAAGGAGAAAAGCCAGTTTCTTCATATTCAAATAAAATAATTGGGAGTGTTTTGAACGTACCTAATATTTGGATTGCTTGATGGGAACAGAATGTGGCGGCTTCGGATGCGGCCAATTTTGCCATAGCCGCTTCTTTAGTGTATGGTAGCCCTTGATCTTTGAGCCAAGCAGTACGCCAGGTTAACAAACGCGCCGATTCAATTTGCAGTGACATATCGGCGATTTTCGTTTGAATGGTTTGTAATTTTGAAATTGGTTTTCCAAATGCTGTTCGTTTTGTGGCATAATCGACGGCACATTCTAGTGAAGCCTGAGCGATACCGAGTGCTTGACTAGCGATTCCAATACGACCAGCGTCCAATGTCTTCATGGCAATTTTGAATCCATAACCAGCCTCACCTAGCATATTTTCGGCCGGAATTTCACAGTCTTCGAATATTAGATAGCACGTCGATGAACCTCGAATGCCTAATTTGTCTTCTTTTTTACCCAATGAAAACCCAGGCAAACCTTTTGGCACTATGAACGCTGATATGCCTTTGTGTTTCAGTTCTTTATTGGTTGTGGCAAATACAACAGCGGCTTCGGCTTCAAAAGACGAAAAATGAAGAATCAAAAGTTGTGAGATGAAAATGTTTACACTCAGCTCTAACCTTCATATCCATTTGTAATCCACGCCTTTGTTCCATTCAAAATGTATCGATCACCTTTTAAAACGGCTGTGGTTGATGCGGCCCCGGCATCTGATCCGTTCCCTATTATAGTCAAATTATGAATAATTGTCTATAATTTTATTTTTAAGTTGAAAGAATGGTTACCAACCTGGTTCCGACAATGCAAAACATCCAACACGGTCTCCCATTGTAAATGGCTGTACAAAGTCGCTCTTTTGCTGGTCATTGCCCCAACTTAACAATGGACCCAAATACAATGAATTATTCACCGACATTATTACACCGGCCGACGCACAACCGCGTGATATTTCTTCCATTGCAATTGCATATGCCAAGTAATCAAGACCAGTTCCACCTGTTGAAGAACGAAATATGTGAGTTTTAAATTTTTCAGAACTTTAAAATGTTTCAAGCTCACCATACTCTTCCGGTACAACCAGTCCCATCAATCCTAATTCACCCATTTTTTGTATTTGCTCCTTTGGATACAAGTGTTCACGGTCAATTTTTGCTGCAATAGGTTTCAATTCATTGTCGGCAAAATCACGACAAGTCTTCTGTAGCATTTGATGAGTTTCTGATAATGCCGATAAACTGGCGATTTGACGACGACCACTAAGAAATCCATAACGATTGCAAGCTATTTTTCACACAAAAAAGATATTTTCAAAACAACCGTGATGTATATATTTTCCTTTATTAGAAAGTCAATGAGAGTGTCATTGAATCCAAAGTCCAAAGTTTACATCAAACAGACTACATTCGCAATATTCAACGGTAAATATATCAGAAATGTTTGAACATAGAGCTGAGTGTACTCACCAAATTTTAACGTATTTTTCAACATTTTAATACCAAAAAGAGAAAATAAACTTCAAAATAAAATTGAAAACTTATTTTTTTCGGCACCGACTATGTGAGGTGAAATGTTTACAAACGCAATACTTGTCAATGCATTTTTATATCTTTTGACATTTCTGACATTTCTGAGTGTTCGCCTGAATGTAGACAACACTTTATGCCATATCGTAGTTTTATAAGAATTTAAAATTCATTCTAATTGCAGTATGTAAGGAACGGTATCAAGGGTATTTCGATTCGTGCTTTATAGTGTAAAATCGCAAATTTTCCTTTGTCCGGATTACACTAGACAGAATGGTTTTTTGGGAAAATTCTTTCGATTTGCTGTGGTTTTTGAGTTACGATGGTACGCGCGGCTGCGTATCAATGTACGTGCGGCTGCGTTAGATTTTTGGCACTTCTATCTTCAAGTTCGTAAGCTCTTACACATAGATCAAAAATAAAACAAAAATATTATGTTGCGTTCGCTTCACTGAATACAACAACCGCACACACACACTCTATCCGTTTTCCGTGCCGTGCATCGAATGTTCTTCTAAAAAAAACAAAAGTCTCAAATGTATGTCAAATGATATGTTTTGGTTCAATCACCTCCATATGAGCGTGCGTTTAACTTGTTTCAATTAAAATACAGCTTTTCCTACGCAATGGTGACGTAATGCTGCGTATATTTTGATGAAGAGACTCTCCCAAATTTTGGCACGTGTGCCTCTATAAGTTCATCTATTTCTGAAAATTCAAGGTCTTTAATTACTTTTCCGCACACACCTAGTGTGTAAGGTAAAGTATTGGAATCGGTCGAAAAATTAACACCCATAAAAAATGTGTTTTCTGGGTGTTTTTGGGGCCAGGGAACACGAATCTAGCGTTTTTTCGATGTCCGAATGTATGTGCGTACCCTGTACCCTGTACCCTGTACCCTGTACCCTGTACCCTGTACGCTGTACCCTGTACGCAAAAATTTGTTAACACGATAACTTTCAAACAAGAAAAGTAATTCAAAATCTGACTTCACAGGATGATTGGGGGTGCCGAGGAATAGAAACCATTAGATTTTGAGCGACTTTGGTTGACAGAGTGAAGTGTCATGTCTGGTGTGATGCCCATGGCCATCCATGGGAAAAATTCAATTTTTCTTCCAAAAGTGATATTTAATGTATTCTTAAACATCCAAAAATATGTACTCGGGGGTTTTTGGGTACGAGAAAACCGAATATGACGTTAGTTTTGCGATACAAATAACTTTCGACACACTTTTCATACAAAAAATTCAAAAAATTTGGATTTTTGTATGGAAGCCATGCCTGTATGATATCGTAATGAGCTGAAACTTTGCACAGGTTATTTTTATCACACATAAATACTATTCCGAGAGTTTGAAGACATTTCAACGAATATTAGGGGCACCTCCC